CGGGACCGAAAGGGGAACCAGGTCAATCACTAGAAGATCCTCGAGTCATGATATCTCCTCCTCATTTGATTGTCAATGAAAGTCAGTCAGCACTCTTCCATTATTCTATCCGTGGTAATCCACAGCCCCTGTTTGGCTGGAGTAAAGTGGGAGGTTCATTAGACACGACAAGATCAATAGTTAATAGTAGCAGAGGTATACTAGAGATCAAACATGTCACATTCTCTGACTCAGGGATATATCAATGTAATGCATCTAGTATTMTTGGTAAAGCACTTGCMACMACAAGACTAGTKGTSAAYTACCGTCCTCGAGTWAGCCTAAAGAAAGGACCAATCTACGTTAAGATAGGAGACAACGTCACACTACCAACATGTCACGTGATGGGGCATCCCAAACCCAGAGTCACGTGGTCCAGGTCCATTGGTAAATTGCCATCAAATCGTACCCTTACTCGTGATAACGAGTTGACCTTGTTTAACGTTGTGAAGGATGATTCTGGTACATATGTGTGCACGTCTGATAATTTTCTTGGTTCTGATGCTGCAGGATGTGTACTGGTGGTCGTACAGCTACCTGTGTTTGTTGTCAGACCACCCAACATATCTTATGCTATCGTTGGTTCATCATTGACTCTCAATTGTTCAGCTAAAGGTGATCCAGAACAAGTGATCAGCTGGAGAAGAGAAAATGGTGCTCTTCCCTCTGGTAGATATGAAATAACTCCAAACGGTTCTCTGGTCCTGAGGAACATTCAAGCATCTGATGATGATATCTATGTCTGCTCTGCTACAAGTGCTGGGGTATTCGATGTGCAGGTAAAATCTACATTGAATATTTTCTATCATGACTGCTCAGAGATCTACAAATCAGGTGAAAGACGTAGCGGTGTGTACACGATAAAACCCGACAGTGAGAGAGCGTTTCAAGTCTACTGTGACATGACAACTGACGGAGGGGGGTGGACAGTGTTTCAGAGGAGGCAAGATGGATCTGTAGACTTTTATCGTGACTGGCAGCAATACAAAACCGGTTTTGGAAACCTGAATGGCGAGTTCTGGTTGGGTAACGACTACATCCATCGACTGACAGAAAAAACACCTTCGGTGCTACGAGTGGAGCTGGAGGACTGGAACAGAAACAAGAAATATGCCAAATATGGTAGTTTTAGTGTTGGTGATGAATCAGACAAGTACAGACTCAAGGTTGCTTCGTATTCAGGTGATGCTGGAGACTCACTTATCAGTCATCACAATAACCTATTTTCCACAAAGGATCGAGATAATGACAAACATCAAAGCAAGTGTACCACATTATTTGGTGGTGCCTGGTGGTATCGTGCATGTTACGATTCTAATCTTAATGGCAAATATTTTGGCAACAAAAGAGATGAAAAGGGAATTGCGTGGGAAGGATTTCATTATGACCTTTCTTTAAAATATTCTGAAATGAAAATTCGTCCGATATCGTTCTAGCTGCATGCTGTTTCTTGATTTTGAACTCTGATCTCAATCTCGTTTACAGAGCTCACGTTCCTCTTTAAGTATAGCCAAACTCGTAACCAGACCCTCCTCAGCTTTCTAAAGAAAAACGTGAATGGCCTATAGACCTTAATCGTCTTTAAAATGTAGAATTAAGAATTCACTGGGAATAAGAACTGGGATAAGTACTTTTAAATATATATAGAAAAATCATAACTAAAATTAAGAGAAAATGAAAAACATTCTAATACAGTAGAATTTCTATTGTTCAACATTAGTATTCAACACTTGTATTCAACATTTGTATTCAAAATGCATGAAATACCAGGTACTTTGCTAAACAGCATTTAAAGCTAGTCTAAGCTGGGTAGCAGTTAAGGTATGGATTTTAAAAACACAGCGATGCGATAGTAACTCAATGACGTTCTCTCGTTTAAGCGCTTTTTTTGGAGGGAGAAAAACCGGGAAAAACCCTCGAATAGCGATATTCACTCTTTACAAAGGAATCTGGAATCAGGAATCTTTTCTCGTTCAAATTTGCCAACCATTAAGACAAAAATAACTCTTTGTTTCAGTAGCCAAAAGAGTACTGGTTGGTACATTAATAAAAATAGGTGAGCATGTGATAGTGTAAAACCTCTATTAAGGGAGAAACTTAACAAAGTATATTCAAATGTGATGCCCCAATAAATGGACCTGACACGGCCCCAGAGGTGAGAGACCAGTGCACTACCCTACACCACCCTTGATTCCCCTAAGATATTAAACAATCGTTTTTGGAGCAAGCCCTTTAACTACAAATAAATAAATAAATAAATAAACAAATAAACAAACAAACAAACAAATAAACAAATAAATAAATAAATAAATAAAATAAATAA